TGCCCCCCCACACCCTTCCCTGCGCCCCTTTAATCCTTCCTGCTTTCATCAGCCTCGGCAGCCGGTGCCGGCAAGCTGGCAGGTAAAAACCCAGAGCCTCCATCGCCTCGGCTTTGGACCGACGAAGCCGCATCCCGAGCGCCTGCCACCGCAGCGAGAGCATCGCCGGGCAGGTGAACGGCAGCGGCGCGGCTCCCGCATGTCCCGGCTGGCAGCGCCCGGTGCGCTCCCTGCCACCGCCTGGGTCTCGGCATGTGTCAGCACCTTCCAGCCCCGAGACCGAGACTTTGAATTGGCTCCGAGCATGGCCTTGATTTATTTTTTTAATTTAATACGAGTTGACTTGATGTATTTATTTTGGCAGCGGGTTACCCCTCAAACCCCAAACCCTGCTAAAACAGCGTGTTCTGTCCCTGCCAGCCCGCGCCGACACAAACAAGAGGGCTGGGACCTGACCCCCGGGCGGGCGGCCCATGCTTGTCCCCGGGCAGGTGCCCGGGTGGCACCGGCTCCTGCCCCCGAGCTGCGGGAGCTGCTGGGAACCAGCCCCCGGGTGAGCGGTGGCTGGGAGCTGGGAGTTTTTTACAGCCTGAAGGTTTGGTCCCAGTTTCCTACCCCGTCTCCCAAGGGAACGCGGAGCAGGGAGCGCTGTCCCTGCGCCCGCCCTGGTGGGCTCGGAGATGGGGCGGCCCCTTGGCACGGGATGGGGCTCGGGGATGCTGAGATCGACACCTTCAGACCCTCAACCCAAAACTCCGCCTGTGCGAGGCTGGTATGGAGTTGGGGAGGAGGAGGAGGAGATGAGCTGCCTCTTGTCTGCTGTCACCGCTGCCTTGTTGCTCACCCGGGGCTGCCCCATGCCGTGGGACCTGCTTGGAGATCCCCAAGTGGGGGATCCACTCGCTCTCCGGCCCCCGGGCATGGTGGGGTGGGATCCCTCCTTGGCATCGCCAATGAGGCAGAGCTGCGACACCTTGCCCCAGGAGGGAATTTGACCCTGAGGGTTCTCCTCCTCCTGCCAGAAGTCAAATATTGCCCCAAAACACCGCTGGGGACAGCGTCCTTCCACCAGCAGCTGGCACAGGGACCCTGACTCTTCTGCTACATGGTGGACATTTTGGGGTACTTATATTTAATTATGGGTATTTGTTATCTCCACCACATAGCAGAGGGGTGGGAGAGCACAGGGGGCTGGGAAAGGGGTCCAGGTCCCCTGAGCATTTGATCCAGCCCTGGGAGCCCCCCTGCCACCACGGGCAGCCTCTGCGGGAGGGGGACGCAGCCCCCAGCCCCAGCATCTCCCTCCTACCCTCAGCACCGGGGCGAGGAGCACCGGAGGGAGCGGAGCCGCCAGTAGCTCATCCCGGCAAGCCGGCACCCGTCCCCGGAGCTGGTGGGAGCTGAGTCACCCTGACAGGGAAAGTGAGGAGCCGGGATAAAAGCGGATCAGCGGAGGTTGCCTTTGATACTCGCAGTGGCCACGCTTCGCCCTCGGTGCCGGCCAAGCCGGGCTCCCTGGGGATGCCCTGGCCGGCCCAGGCAGGGCTGGAGAACATCTGGATTTCTCCTTGTGCCTCTTTTTATTCGCTGCTTCGCCCCCGCTTTTGCCAGGGTGGGGTTGGGGGATTTTCCACGTTGGGCCCTGGAGTTTGGTGGCCAGGGCAGGGGTGACAGGACAGCTTCTCCCGGCACCCAAATTTAGGGCTCACATAGGATTTTCAGCCCAGGATTTTGTCCCCGAGGATAGTCCCAGGGACGCTGGCGCTTTGCCCAGCTCCATGCTGGGATGGAGGGACACAGGGAACACAGAGCCTGCGCCCAGCACCGAGGGGCCGGTCTGTGGGTCCGGCTGTGCTGGAAATGATCCTTGCCGTGTGGTGAGCAAAGGTTTAGGGAGGTTGGGATGGGGAGAGAGGGCAGAAGCTATCAGCTACGGAGGGCCAGAGGCGGGTCAGAGGAAGGGCTGTTGTGTTGGGAGTCCGGGGCAGGACACGGTCCCGGTGTGTCCTGGGGTTAGCCAGGAGCTCGGCTATTTATATCGGAGCTCCTGCCCCCTGCTCGGAGTGACTCAGACCCGGCGCGATGGCCAGACGGAAACATGTTTTGAAGATGGTCTAATGGGAGGGTGGGGACGGGGGACCCTCCCTGCCAGCATCCCCGGCCGCCTGTCACCCTCGCTCCCTCGGGGCTGCTCCTCCCGGGCAAACCCCGCGCGGGCGGCAGCCGAGACCTCGTGGCCAGTGCTCGGCTCGGCATGGGCCACCCAGCTCCCTTCCCCTCTGCGTCACCCCAGTGGCCCCAAACCCATCACCGCGGTGCAGCCAGGGCTCGTGGACCCCATCCAGAGCTTGGCGTGAGACCTGGGATTGCAGGAGGTGCAAATCCTCCCTGCCAGCCCCGTCCAGGGCTCCGGCTGGCTGTCCCCAAAGGTGGTGACAGCATCCCCAAAGGCGGTGATGGCATCCCCAAAGGCGGTGATGGCATCCCCCAGCCCTGGCGGGGTTTTTTTCCCCCTGGTTTGCCCTGGCGGCAGCCGGGGGGTGGAGGCTGCGGGGCTCCTCCGGGCCCCACGCACCCCGCCGGGGTCAGGGCTCCCGGGGCAGTGGGAGGGAGCGGCCGGGCAGGTCGGTGCCTGCCGCCAGGAGCGGGGCCCCACGGGGCCGGGGTGCTGCCGACGCCAGGGGAAGGGGCCTCCCGTCTGCCAGGGCGGGCGCCGATGTGGTGACTCGGGGGCTCCCACCCCCCCGGCACCCTGGGTGTCCTCCCCCAGCACCCATGAGCACGGGGACTGGGGATGCGCAGGGCCTCGGGATGTGCAGGGCCTCGACGCCCTGCGCGTCCATCCCTCCGTCTGGTGTCCGTCCATCCTTCTCCCATCCCTGGTGCGTCCCCCCTGTCCCCGCACAGGTGAGCTGAGTGCGAACGGCCTCAGCTCCTCCTTGCCCGGGGTCTGTCCCCTGGGCGCCCAGGGCTGCCCCGTGCCCCCCCTCAAGGGGATGCATCCCCCGGGGCCATCTGCGCGGGGGGGTCACCGTCCACCCGCTGCGCCCCCGATGGAGCGGGGTCCCTGAGAAGGGGTTCCCCCCCCCCCCG